CGATTAAAATGCGGTTGGTTTCCGGTCGGACAAGACCGCGTGGTCGGAAATTAAGCGATAAGCGGTCGATGTAAAAGCGGAAGGTTGGGCGAAATGAGTACTGTATGACCATGTTTCTCCGACGAAGTCTCGACTGACAATAATGCTGACAATGGATGTTAGATAAACACGCATTGTTTGCAACTGGAAGCTTATCACCCGTTATATCAGAATCGTCAACAACAGAGTATACAGATAAGATGTTATCATTTAAACCCTTTCAAAGATAAACATTATGCAAATATCCACGAAACGGCAGTTGTAGTCTTTTCTGCTAGTGTTTTAAAACACTAATTTGAGCAACGTTATTTCGCAATTTCGATCTTTTGTAAACCTGGGGTGATGATCAAGGTCTAAAGTAACCGTTTTATCAATTTTTGAAAAATCAAGAAAAAAGTGAAAATTTCCCTTCTCGCTACCTTAAATTGAGAGAATAATTGTGTCGACAAATATTTGATACTTATTTAGGTGTAAGAACTCATGTTTGACCAACTTCCACCATTGCAAGTTGTTAAAATAATGAAATAAATATACTGGTATCATTGGATATTTGATTTAATTGTGAAACTTTCTAACAAAATTGTAATTTGTATCTATACCGAGGAAACGACCCCGATTGAAGGTCATGTATTTTGTGACGTCACCAATTCGTGTGTAGGTACGGCTTCTAGAACCGTACCATTAGCATAATTTAAAAAAAATGCATAAAGTGTAGGTACGTCTTCAGGAGTCCTACCTTATATTCTATTCTATTCATTGCCTTGCATCATCATGCATATGCCACTGGGACAAAACTCGTTTACGTACCTTCGTAGCTCTTTAATTTTGTTCGAATATTTCGAATAAAATGGGTTTGCTTCCAAACTAACACCCTCGTCATTCTTCCCAGAGGCAGAACAAGTTGTCCTCAACTCTCGAATAAGCCTATAGTAACTTCTGCAACGAGCGGGCAGTAAACAATATGGTCGCATGGGCGCTGCCATTTTAGAAAAGCTGAAGACATTGAAGGTCAAAGTTTAATAGCTTCACTCTTTACTTCCGGGTCAGTTTTCACTATCACCGTCGACGTGGCGGTATCGTCAATGTAAAATGCATCTCAAGGAACGCTTAAATTTCCGAGTTGGAATATTATAAAGAATTTAAAAACAAGCAAGGTACGTAATTCGCATAATATAACGTAAATGCGCTAAGTCATCAGTTTGAATGTCATCTTTTATCCGATGTGCGTAGAATGCAAATATACAGTAAGAAGATTCAAAATTAAGAACATTAAAATTTTGACAGAAATGCAATACAAATAATTAGTAAATTCAGAACAAGTTCCCATAAACCCCACATTCAACAGACTGTTATACAAAGCCCAAAACTAAGCTAGAAGACAAAACCGGTCCTGAATGTGACGTTTTAGAGGATGAGATGCGTTGTATCACAGAATGTTAATTTTATACTCAGGAAACATGACCAGTAATATATGCACGCACACTTAGGGTGGTGCCATGCTTGCTATGATAAACAATAAGCAAACTATTCCATAACTATTCACTACACTGCAGTCATTTTCACACTCTGGTTCCAATGAACTTGATGACATCATCAAATTACTGACTGGCGACATAAATACTACTACTGATGCATAGCTATAGTAAAGATAATAAATGTATCAAGAAATTTTCTTTCTGTTGTAAAATATGTTCAGAAATTGACAAGTCAAGTTGAGTTTATCTGCTACATGAATATACATCTGTGATTGGATAATTTTGGATAAATGTATATATTTTCCACTGATGTCTCAAGAACTGCATGTTGGGTTTTAATGAAACTTGGTACATAGACTAATGCGCAATTTTATTAGGTTTTGGTTGAAAGCTTTGCATATTAATTACCTTATTTGCATGATAATTAGCTGATTTTTATCTGTTCCATGACTTTTCCACTGATATCTAAAAAGCCATTCATTGGATTTTGATTAAACTTGGTACATAGATGCTCTGGAGTAATGCACAGATTTGATTAGTTTTGGGTACAAATTCATGCATATAATTAACCTCATTTGCATAATGATTATATATTAACATATAGGACAATGCACTGACTGATATGCGAAGTATTAATTACCTAATTTGCATAATTTGCATAACATGTGTGTTCTAAAACAAAATACAAACCTAAATTTATGCACAATAATCACTTATTTTCTATAATAATTTATTTGGTTCATTGAGGTAATCCACAGACATGATTAGTTTAATGTTGATAAACATACATATTGATTATCTATTATTAGTCCATTTCTAATATCTAAAAAAAATATATTTAAATTGAATTCATCACAGACGTGCTCATGAATTAAACATCAAATGTATTTTCTGTATGTATTATAAATTTTGATAATGGGAATCACATTGTTTTCATGTTGTGCATCTCAAATAGCAGACAAATATTAGTTGCGAAGCTTCTCGTTTTGGAAAGCAAATCTTAAATTTTTAATTAATTTTAATGTGTCTCCCATACTCTCAGCACACAGTCCTTTCTAAGCTTTCTTTGATTGTTAATGGCGGGATCCAAGTTGTGAGTGTTGGTCGTTGGGTGATCGTCGTTTGCCACACAAACCTACACAAACGCCAGAATGCTGTGTTTGCTGGTAAAACATTTTTTGTTTTCTGTGTTGTGACTTTGAAATGGATTGCAAATCTCCGACAAAGAAAATACGATTTGTAAGTTTAACTGGTGATCAACTAAATGAGATTGAAGGATTGAAGGATGAAAAAAATGCAAAAAAAACTACAAGGCTCAGGCAAAAATATATGCCAACAATAACAACTGGTGTCCCGTAGCGACATTCAAATTCTACCTGACAAAATTGAACCCAGGTAATTGCCATCTGTTTCAAATACTGTAAAATATCAAATTTTCGCTGAAAGGAGATTTTAGGGGTTTTGTATGGAATTTATTTTCACTGATTTTTGACAGGTTGAATGTAAAATATAGGAAAAAAGGTATATTCGATGGATTTTATTTTCACTGAGTCATTCCTTCAGCGAAAATAGCAAAATTTAATTCCAAGTGAAAATAAAGTATTTCATAGTACCATGGGATAACACAGAATTCAACAACGATATATGGTATTGTAATTCTCTACTGGGGATAAATAAATTAGGGGAGATGATGAAGGTAATTTTGAAAGATGCAGATGTGTAAACCAACCACTGTATTTGAGCGACGGTGTGCACAGTCCTTGATTCGGTCAGAGTTAAGACAAGGCATATCATGTACATATCCTATCACAAAAACGAGGCGATCTTGCACCAATAAACTTACTCCAGAATAATGACAAAACTTGTCAGGCATATTGTCACAAAACCTTGGTTATACCAAAGATGTATCTAGGTAATATGTTGGGTCTGAGATTGCTTTGCCCGTCACTGTACATAATAATAATAATAATAATACTATAACAGTTTTATTACACTGTAATGAAATTAAATTCATTTTTGGCTGAAAGTAATAAAAGGAAAGGTAAGTAAAAAACAGAACGTTAAAATAACATAACATCAGGCAGTAAAAATTAATGCAGTTTGTGTTTTTCAAAACACACTTTCAGATACCGTGTCACATGTCTAATTAGTTTAGGATGGTTAGTATTAATAAGGATAATGAACTTATTGATATTTGTTTTCAAACTGGAAAGTTGGGATTTCCTTATTAAATTCAACATACATGATACACCACTGAATCCCACCATGTTTCAAACTTTGGTCGAACCAAGTACCGCTGAACGTCAAATATCCACAGTTACAAGTAGTATGATGAGTCAGACATTCGGTTTATTGCACAATTCACTCCATATATGCACTTGCCTGTGGCTCATGCATATATGTTGTGAATTGTGCAATATCTCGTGGTATACCTGCCTAAATACATCACTAAATACAGCTAGACACAAAGTGCTGTGGGTAAGAAATAATTCCCATTGGATTTATTGTTTTTTTTCCATTGAATTACTAAAAGTTTGGTCCCTATTAGTCATGTTCAGGCTACAGGGTAAAATTTAAGTTAATCTCGTAGGTTTGTATCCCAATTACATTCACATATGGGAGGAAACAACAGTTAGCATATTGGCAAATCTTCAGTTATTTTTAACTATGATTATTCTGTACAGTAACAAGGAAGATATACATGTTAGCTCTATGGTTATAAACAATTACAAAGCAAATTCAGAAAGTGCAGCTTACAAAATAACAGGAATTATTAATTATGAGTCTCATCGTCAGTCCAATTTTTTCCTGACAATCCAGAATGTGTTGGCATTGATTGGCAAGTCGGAAATGGCATACTGAAATGAATAGCTTTGAATATATTTAAACAACCCGCCAACCCATAATGCACACTTTGTGCTTCATATATGTCGTACAAAGTTATCTTTTGCCCATTATGGGTTGTTGGGGAGTTCACTATTGTTATTATTTTGTAGTGTTGTCAATACCAGTGGATTTGCTGCCACTAAAAAAAGCGAAAAATTTGGAGAAAAATCCACAGTGAATGGAGCGGTTTCACTGGCCTGTGAATCTGAATAATTTGAAATGTCTTTCTGGATTTTTTTTCACAATCTTATATGGCAACTAAGAAACTAAGAAAGAAACTAGTTTTAATCCATCAAATATTATTGTATTTAAGTCATTTACATTGAGAGTGAACGAGTGACTGACATGTGGTGTGAACTAGCATTGTAGTGATCGCCCGAGCGAACGGCACACCGTGACTGGTAGCAGGTATGCCGTATCGGTGTCGGCAGCGGTCTTTCACTCTTGGCTTGCACAATGCTAGGCTAGAAGAAATACAAGTCATGTTGGTCTTTGCTGTTATACGCAATGGACTGATTTTAGTATTGAATGGTTGTTATCCAACAAATTTCTCTTCTTTTTCAATAGTTTCTCCTTTATTCGTTTTTTAAAACAACATTCTATTCATATCCATGGCACAGGGTCTTGATGGTCAATAATGGGATACATTATCGCGAATAATCTGCTGCAATGATGTCATATAATATAATAGCAAATATTCCAAATGGACATTGAATACAATGGGCGCTTAGCCCAAGCGTTCATGCACACTTTCTGGACCGAGTCTTAAAAACGGAACAGATTTAACCTATACTTTTTTTAACCTGTGCTCAGCATTCATGCATACTTTGTTAACCCTGGTAAGGGTCTAGGGTCAGTTTTAGCATGCACACACTAAGTGTTTGCACAAGTCATGTTTTCATAGGCTAACATTGTTGACTTCATATTGGCACTGTGGGCCACTATAATTGTCTATCATTGTTTGGAAGGCCTTCTGTAATCCCAAAATCAACAATAACATTTATTTAGTAGGTCATAAACAATGATAAATATGTAAGGAAAACAAGACTGGAATTTGAATTATGCAGCAACAATCCAGTTGAGCCTTAGTTGATATGTTAGTTATGACAGGCAGTTGAGTGCTTAATGTGATAATTTTTTTTTTGTATTCAGTAAAATGCTTCATTTTCACTTTATTTTCACTGAAGGGATGATTCAATGAAAACTAAAAACTCATTAAAAATCAGTGAAAATAAACAAACCAAAATAAAGTGTTTTACAGTATACGCATAAAAACATTTCTGCAAACTTAGAATCACCAGTCTCTTGTTTTTTTTAAGGTAACCCAGCTTTCACCATTTATATACTTGCATAATATATTATTTTATTGAATAAAAATATACCAAAAACAAAGAAGAGACTGCAAATCTAGATGCACTTGAACTACAGTCAGTGAATACTGTGGTACTAACATATAACATACAAGGCTTTTGTCAAATTTTTGTCTGAAACTATTTTTAGCTCCGCTGTCGACTTTGTCGAGCGGAGCTTATCATATGAGTGATTGTCCGTCGTCGTCTGTGTCAATGTTTTACTTTTTCGACTTCTTCTTGAAAACTACAAGCCTAAATGCTTTGATACTTGGTATATATACCTTGGGTAGACCTCTCTTAGATTTGTTCATTTCATGATGATATCTTCAATTATCTAATTTTGATGAATATTTTTGTCATTTTTGGTAAAAAGTGATATTTTTGACTTCTAGTTAAAAACCGCAAGTCCAATTGCTTTGATATTACATACATAGGTACTAC